GGGGGGGTGGGTGAAGGGAGGAATCCAACCTAACCACCACTATCCTTGATAGGCTATTCACAAAATCCTTCAGGCATTCTTAAATACAATAATTCATGATTAACTACATTGAATATGACTGATTATGTAGACACCAATTCCAAGTCCAAAAGTTATCCCAACACTCAAGGAACCAGATACTTTAAGGTGAATAATATTGTTAAAATTTATTCAACTTTACTACTCTGAGCTGAACAGAAAGCCCTACAGGTCTAGAACCCAATTACAAGGCAACCGATAGATCGAATTAGAATTTGGAAGTCGATTTTTGTGGAGGGAAGAAAACTGGAGATCCCAGTGAAAAACCCTCAAAGCACAGGAGAGTCTTATTGTGAGAGGCGAGCGAGATTACTGCTGTGCTACCTCATCTTCCCAGTTACAGTATCTTTCTGTATAATATACTTTGCACAAATTCAGTGGTAACTCAATTACAGTTTTTGTAGTAAGAGCTTATTATATACAGAATAATAATAATAATAAAATAATATTTTAAACTAGTTTTTCAACCCAAATTAAAGTTATTTTTATTTATCTTTATTATATCATTAGGTTCCTTCAACCAGTTGTTGCTCACATTCATCTTCTCTGGGAGCTCGTTATTTGCAATGAGGTAATAGATTGCATTAAAAAATGTGCATGAGTACTGTGTGTAGTCCTAAGGGGGATTAGCAGGACACAAAAAAGGTGTTAGAAGTTGAATTACTCCTCAACATGTCTTGAGCGTTGTGCTGTTCCATGAGTACATCAATCCCACCTGCATACAACACCGTTGTCAATTTATATGTTATTTACCGGCCAGGAGGTCAGGATAGGGAAAAACTGTGCCCGAGGTCTTGAATATGCGGACCAAGGCCGTCCTATCCGGACCGACTATAGGACGGTAAATAATTTTTTTCTCCATATTTTTTTACTTGTTTTTGTAATTGTTTTGTTTTGTTGTTTAGCGGCGAAGGATACCGGACCACGAGCGCGGGCAAATACTTACAAAATACTGCCCGCTCAAGCAGACAATCAGAATGCACAATTTTTTAGGATACCGGACTGGAAAAAAATAAAAATAAAAATTATTTTGGATAAGAATGACGAAATAGAAACTTGGGCACATGCTGTGAGGTCTCATAAAGCATGCACCTTAAGCAATCAGAATGCTAGATTTATGACAGTTATTTTATAAATTTAATGTTTTACGATTTTACCCATAGTTATATCAATTTTGTTCAACCACAGGATTCTTATTTGTTGATGTTTCTGATATATTTTTCAGCCCATCGTTGTCATGGCACCGACACCCAACATGTGCTCAAATACTGTTCAAGTTTTAGTCAAGTATGTTAGTTGCATGGTTCTCTTTAATATCAGTATTGGTCACAAATTTCTTGAAATTGGCCAAACGTACTCTTAATTATAAGGTTCAGGACTGGGCCAAGGAGAAATCCTCAGAGCAAGATCGTCTTGGTTTGTTCAGTAGTCCAATTTTGGCCCCCTCTCCTCCCCCATTATTTAACGAGGTCGTTTCGACTTTTCACTATGATCCGTCTACCCTGTAGCTTTGGCTTAAATACCAATGGAAGCCCTGCAGTCGCCACATGTAAATTGAGTTTGTTTCGAAGTGTTGTTCTCTCCTGTGCCACAACCTGGTTCTCCGATTTTCCTCCCTTCATAAAAATCAACAAAAGAGTTGTGTAGTGAATATTCGAATGTAGTAAGGAGTGTGTATGGAGGATACACAGCCCCACAAGCTTTTAGCTTTAAAGCCTACTGTGTATAAATAAAAAAGAGATTATTTATTTACCATCAAAATACGGTAATGATGGAGAGAGAGAAAGAGTAGTGTGTGAACAAAAGGCCCTCTTAGAAGTTATAACATTTTTCTCTTTTTTTTTTTTTCGTTTGTAAGCTTTTCCTTACATTTCTCTCTTTCAGTTTGATTTCACCCTTGCACTTCTGTTCGGACTATCGACCTTTCTTTACAATACATGACAGCGAGTTCAAGGAATACACCACAAGGACGCAAGCACCGTAAGATATAAAATCATATTTTAGACTTTAATTCTGTGAGGACGGCTTTCAGTTGGAAATAGTTTCCAGTTTGATAGGAAACTTGCAATGACAAATGCTTTTATAACATAGCAAAAGCGTCAAAAAATCTTTGTTAATCGAGAAAAAATTCAAAACATTTTTTTAACGAAATCTTCATGCCCCCTCCACCCTCCCCCCCCCCCCCCCCCCCTGAATTATCTAATTATACATCCCTTTCAACACTGCACGCTGCGGTACACTAAAATGGCTTCCTGTCTTGCAGTTCGTTATGTCATAACAGCGAAATAACTTAAATTTATTTAAATTTATTTGCGAAAAAAAAAAAGAGAATGGGACATTTCTTCACACAAACGTATGCGTCTCACATGGAAATCATTTTCTGTCTTCTAGCTTTTGTGTATTGACTCTTTGATTAATTATTATTCTTTAGACCCAGTGTAATTCTTGGAGTGACAAATCCTTTCTTCGCCAAAACGTTACAATACTGGCCTCATGTTGTTAGGATAGGAGAGATGTCAAATCTAGGTAAGAATTAATCTCGTCTTTTTATACAGTTCAGTCCCGATGCACTCAACATTTGTGTTCTCCGCTTGCAAGCTATGTCATTGCGGCCATGTTCGTGATATTTGACCATCCTTTATTAAGATGGGAAAGCCTCATTCATTGTATCTTTATGAATACATTACATCAACTGCTTGCTGCGTAGGCTCTCCCTTTTGAAAACCACCAACATGGCCGGGGGATGTAGCGCGCAAGTGAAAATAACAAGTTGAGTGCATTGGGACCATTTCCATTCTTCAGTGTTGAGATCTAAATTTTGGTTGGCCGTTGAAACACAACCGTCTAAAAGATGTTGAAGAAATCAGTGTTAAAACCTTTGTATAGAGCTAATATTTCAGCAGGTTTCGCGAAGATTTCATTTACTAAGGTAGTTTTTTGATGTTAAATTATCCTATTTTCAGTGGTATCCAGGAAATCCCCTTCTATTGGTCAAGCAAGTAAACGAAACTTGTCCTCAAAACCTGGCAAGTACTTCATTCCAAAGATTTAAACAATTCTTGAATTATCTGTGGATTTTTAAGTTCAGTTCGTCACTGAGATAGTCCTACGCATGCGTCCTTTGAGTTGTCACACAATGCTTGACTCGTGCGCGTTCCTTGACGACCCAAAGGACGCATGCGTAAGAGGCTACTACGGAAGCTGTCGAGGCTTGAGAACACAAACACGAAATTGCACGTCACTACACCTTGTTTCTACATCTCTTGCGCTCAAAAGTAGGAATAAAAATCTACTTGCGCACAACGGGTTTCGGCATTGGAACACAAACTGCAATATTGCTGTCAATGGCGTGATGTTGTGATCTGTGAAATACAATTTTCCGTGTACCGCTGGTCAGAAATCCGCGCAAGTGATCAGAGTAGCTTTCCTTAATTTATAGTTTTGTTGCATCAAAAGTTGCTTTGTGTGACATTCTTTGAAAACGGTCTCTCTTCTCCGCGTGTGCTCATAAAGCCTAAGCGGTTCGGGAACAACAGGCGGCCATAACATTTCTTTAGGTCTTCCTGGCCAATGCTGCATCTCTTATTTCCTCCGAACTTTGTGGTACATCCGGGTTGTTTATCTTTGCGATTGTTTGACGGTTGAGCAGTCGTCTTCCTCGCTCGTTGAGGCGGGACGTAGTTTATAGGATCTGATGGGACTCTCCGCACGCAGGCACCACGGTCACCACGAAATGACGTTGCGTGCATCAGTAGTACCGTGTGTCAGACTCTTGATATAGGTTATATCTAGTGTGAGTTAGTCCGCCATTACATCCTTTACTCCGAACTTTAGGTATCTACACCAAGTACAAACCGATGTTGAACCGTGATAAAACAATCCTAAGAAAACTAAGCAAGGTAATTCTAATGTATTTACTTATTTATAGCTATTGTACATTTTCTTTCACTCGCCCGCTTACCTACTCTACTGTCGCCGTCATGTGACTGCGCATTGCGTGACGGTACGTTATAAAATCTGCGGCGCTTACCATTTGCATCAATCCATCCGGTTGGAAATTCGTTTGCTATTGGTAAGAAAAGAGCGGGAAACTTTGACTTATGACAAATGGTACACGCGTCTACCGAAAGAACCGAAAAGAGCGGGAAACTTTGACTTATGACAAACGGTACACGCGTCTACCGGAAGAACAGAAAAGAGCGGGGAAGTAGATCACCTCAATGGAAAGTCCTAGTTATCCGGATTTTTTTACAATATACCCGCATTTCCGGTTTTTCCGGGTAAATGTTAAGCACCCCTGTCCTCGTCGTTAGTAACGAGGTGAACATCATCTTTACCAACCTTTGTTGTTAATATAATATCATTGTGTTTCAGGGTAACCATCCCAAGAGACCACCTGAAGTACAGGTTCGTTATACCTTCTCGTTCATTATAACTTACGTTACTCTTCGATTGTACGTTACGTCATCGCAGCCATGTTGGTGCCATTTAACAAAAGATTTCTCATAAGCGTTCAATGTTAACGGCACCACAATGGACGCCATTATTTTGTCTTTTGACTCTCTTGGGAATACTTGCAACCTATCAATACCTTTTTGTTCGTTATACCTTTTCCGATTTGAACCAGCTACTTTTTAAGGATTTCAGGGGCCCTACAGTCTATCAAGTTTAGATTGATTCACTTGCCTAATCAGAATCGTGTAATACTATAAACTTTAACGAGAAATTTTATACCAGGTTTGAACCTTAAAATTTTTTAATTTTTTGGATTGAAATTTTTATTTTCTCTTATTTTATTCGCAGAATGCCATTCTTCGACGTCATATGATTGAGTTGACGCAAAGTTTCATGATTCCTCTGGTGAGATACTCTTTTGTTCGTTAGTTCGTTTACTACAGATTGTTTGTTTGTCTCTACTTGACTTAAGTTTGTTCTATTGTTTCCCAGGAGCGGTATGTTGCAAGTCTGATGCCCCTTCAAAAAAGTATTTCCCCGTGGAAAGTAAGTAAAGTAGAAAATCATCTGCGTTATGATAATGATAATCATCACATCATCATAATTATTATCAAAAACAGTACTAGCACAACCATTATCATTTTTACGCTTGTCGTTTATCATCTTCATCAATAGCACGTCCTCATCACACACCATTATCATCATCGCCATCATCACTATGATGACGATCAGATCATCACCTCCATCACCAATATCATCATCACCACCTCCACTATCATTACAGACCATCGTCATCACCATACCGTTATCAACACCACCATCATCACCATCATCACTACCATCACCGCCACCATCACCACCACCACCATCACCACCATCATCATCATCATCACCATCACCGCCACCATCACCACCACCACCATCATCATCATATTCTGATAACGTCAACTGATCTCCCTTACTTTTAGCGCCCACCAAGACTAAAGAACTTTGATATCGAGGAGTTCATTGAAACATTAAACGATTATGGACCTCAGCTCACCTCCAAACACAAGGGCAACTGGATTCTACTGTACAGGTAATTGTGAATTCAAACTTTATTTTATTTTTATCCATTTGTATTAAAGTCTCCTTCTTCTTGATGGATGTCCGTTTAGAAGGCGTGGCATCAAAAGGGCCGCCACTTCGTTTTCTTTTTGTTTTACTCCGCTTCTATGGACTACTTTTCAACGATACAAATCCAAGATGGCTGCCGTATCGTCGAAGTAGTTGTTCATTGTCAGTCGATTTATTGGTTTCTCTCTAGTTCGAGTTGTCCTCTCTGGTTTCCTAGGCTTTATTCAATGTTACATGGCAACTACTAGTCTCCCCCACAGCCGCTTTCAGTGTCATCACGCAACGCTTTCTCAGGGGAGAAAGCGTTGCGTGACGACACTGAAAGCGGCTGTGGGGGAGACTGGGCAACTACTCGATCTGCACATTGAATAATTTCGAATTACTTTCATATTTTTTATTATATTTTGTATCAGTGTTACAGCGCGTTCAATCTGTACTCAAAAGTTCCCAGCAAAACAATTTTTAGTTTTCACTTGTTGGAATAAATTTTAAGTGTGTGTTAATTACTTTATATTTCCAGAAAGTTTTTTAAGAGTCCAAACTTCGAGGGATGGCTCTATCATCGACAACACGAAATAGTCCAGAAACTGAAACTTCTTCATTTAGAAGCGTTAGGAAATGCGGTAAGTCAAACCACAGGTAGCCCATCTTATTTAAATATCAAGTTGTTGTTTTTCGAAATACATTTAACACCCGTAATTTAAAAGAAGATATAACTAGCTAAAAACTAGTGTGAGCTGCGTCGGTGTTTCTAGTGAAACAGTAATGATGAAAAGGTAAATTATACACCGTGAAAAGATGAAAAAACGTACTGACGTTTCGGACGCTAGTCCTCGTCGGAGTAAATACGTGCGTAATTTAAAAGTATTAGCCTAATTTTATGTTTTCGCCAATTTCAACGAATCAGAGTATTTTTCTTCACTTATTTGTCGTTGTTGTTGTCTTGTCAGGATGTGTTGTCATGGATACAAGGAAAGTCAGAAGTAGAAGTGGTCGATCTGTACCTTCAGATCAAAGAGAAACTCGTAAGTGAGCGGTAGTTTCAATTTATATCCGGTCGTTTTGCGCGGCCTTATCACTGTTATCAGTAGCATCTATATCATTGACGTATGATGTTGTTTTATTTACAATAATATTTAAACAGGATGCTGATTCACTTACAGTGATTTTCAAGAAGGTCCTGTAAAACAAATAATATGTAACAAAATTGAGTTATGAAAAGAAAAAAAAAAAAAAAAGACGAAATACAAAATTGATAAACGCATAAAATTACATGTTTTGGAAAGCTTCAAAGAAATTGGATTTAAACTGAGAAATCTTAGAGCAACTTTTGATATGATAGTTGGGAGGGCATCCAAATTTCCTATCAAGTTTTGACGCTTTGTGCCTCAATCGAAATTTCCTTTTCTTTCCTTCCTTTTTCGATTCTTAGCTTCCCTTCCCTTTTTTCCCCTTTTCTTGCTGCGACCAAATGTGAAGTTAATTGAAGCTCAAAATCTCCTCTGTTGTTGCAGGCCCATATCAACTCGTTTTATCCTCCAGTAAGCGAAGAAACAAAGACCCAACTACGACAACACTTGAAAACCATCTCCGATACATTCCCATCAGACTTGAAGTTCGTACTGACAAACAGCTGACAAGCATGCAGCGTGGAACACAAGAAACCCCGGGCAGGTTTGCTGTAAGGGTCCTTTATCGAGGTTCACAACAAAGCAAAACGTTTTTAAGATAGTAACGTTAGTCAGTCCGAGGTTAAGGAAAAAATGGGTCAAGTTGACTTGCATCGTAAGATTGCTTTTCCAAAATGGCGTCCATTTCGTCTCCTGAAACAGTCCCACACCGAGTACCATACAGTGTCAACTACCCAGATTTTTTTCTCGATCTCGGAATGGTTAGTAAACAAGACACGGAGAAAAGGTTTTCCGTTGTTTCATTTAAAAAAAGGATGACAAACATTGCTAAAGATTAACTTTCAGAATTTTTTAAAGTGATGATTTGAAGGGTCAAAGTGCTGGACGCCTCGGCCCAGTTCTGTACAGAATCTTTCTCGAGGTCTTATTTTGATGTTCTAATTTTTTGCAATTTTAAATTTCATACACATACAATGCTTTGAAAATGAGTTGAATGAAAATGATAGGAATTTAATCAGATATGATTTTCTTATTTTAATTTTAGCTTTTTTTGTCGTTGGCAAATATAGTAGAATTGAGTTAGAGTGAAGTCATTAAACCCGTGCAATAGATATTAGACTAATACACTATAGTAGACCCCAATTCCATTGTCTTCTTTTGTGTCTATTTGACTATTACACGTTGACTAGCATTTTTTATTTCACGGGTTAAATGCCTTCGCTCTATCTGTTGTCATTAGAAAGTAATATAATTATGATTCTCTTCAAGGAAAGAAGCATTATTTTTTATATTTATGGCGAAAATTTAAAAAAATATCATTCAAATTAAAAAATTTTTTTTGTTAAAATTGATAATTTAGACAATTATGTCCTACCATGCATGTATTATAACACGCAAAGACACCTGGGATAGTTTGGGGATTTATTTCGAATAGCAAGTAGTTCAATTTGGAGGACAAAACAATAGGTTTCCAATTCTGAGGAGATTAAACCTCTTGTTTTATTCTCCAAATTGAACTGCTTTGACGTCACTTGCAAGGGGTCTTTACAGTAACAGGTCACATGATACTTTCCCGCCATATTAGTTACAATAGGGACTTTAAGATTTGCAAAATCGGTCTTCCCTGTGGATGAGTTGACTTCACTGACAATGTTTCGGATGAAATCTCCAATGAACAGAACCCCAAAGAGAAATGATTTACACTTCCGGACGACGTCGCCGTAGTGGATTTTGCAAATCTTAAAGTCCCTAATATCGTGACCTGCCAGCTCATCCTCCTTGGTTAAGGCAGATTAAAACTAGGAACATATTCATCCTGCAAGGATTTGTGGGAAGGTATCTTGTAATGCAAAGTGGCGGTCGTGTTTTTATGAACTTAAAAAAATCAGAATTGAAATATTAGTCATCCTTAATTAACTCGAGTAAAGCGCGGGAACGATAAACCTAGGGTGACATCGTTATATATTATATACAGATTTATTATTAGCTCAACCATTCACTGTTATTCTGTTTTTTAAACCTTACCATTCCTAATGTACATATTAAAAAAAATACCATACCGAAACAATGTTATCCATGAGTTGCACCCATTTAGCTAGTCTCCTACGCATTAGTTATTAGTGTTTTTGCGCAACGCTCGTTCCCCTAAGTAGGAAAGTGAGTGTTGCGTTATGACACTTATAGCGCCTGCGCAGGAAACTACCACTCATTTAACGAATCATTACGCGATCCAGTCAAGAGAGAGAGAGTAAGAGAAAGGGAGAGAAAAAAACAAAGAAACTAAAATCTTTTAAGAAAAAGGAAGGAAGGAATAAATAAAAAGAAAAAAAGAAAAAGAAAAAGAGGCAAGAGGGAGACAATGACGAACTGCAGGTTTTGAGAAGATGCTCACTCTCGTTTTTATGAACATGTATCCAATAGTTATTTTCTACGTCTTGGGTGTGGCAGGCGAGTTGAGCTGTTTCCTTTGTAAGTTATACCGAACCTTTCTCACTCCAGCTCCCTTGATGTCGTAGGAGAACTCGGACGAAACGTAAGGAGAACCTGGACGCCTCTCCTTTAAGAAATACACAAAATACGTCAATGTTACGAAGCCAAAGGTGCATGACTTTTATCTTCTTTATCCCTCCACACGTGATACTGAATCCAGGAATCGAACACGAGACCCCAGAGGTGAGAGATGAGTGTACAACCACCCTTAATAGGCCCTTTGCAGTTAACGGTCACGTGTCTGTACTGGTGAGCAAAATTTCTTATTTTATTTTAAATTGGTGATTCTTTTTAGCTACTTGTAAAGAACTGAATGAAACGATGTGTATCCAGTGTGTTACGAAATGCAGTTTTATTACGATCTCTCGAAGCATGTTGTAGAAATGTTGTTTGCTCACCAGTATATTTCACCCATGGGAATCAAGATGTTTATCTATTTGCTCTCAGTGAATTGATCAGCACGTGATTGCTGAGCCTATTCCCTTTGTCCCTGCATTCATTGGTCGGGGTTACGCATGCCTCTCGAGGTAATGGTCTTTACCTTCAGTAACAGTGTAGCTGGTATTTCCAGGTTTCCCTTGAGTAACGTGTTCACTCGTTGCAGTTGATCGAGAGGTACTGGGGTCAGGATGTAGAACAGTTTGTTGTTCGGATCGATATTACGCACCATGCCTACAAGTGAAAAAGAGTATAATATAGAACATTTTCCGTTTAGGTTTAAAAACCTAAACACGCGGGATGCTGATAGAACAGTGGAGAAGAGTAGGGAACCTTTAAATACTCTTAGAACGGATCACTGATGGACAGAAGGGAATATCTCACAAGAGGGGCGTAGGCAGGGGCCTATCCTCTGGAAAGTCCTGGCTATGCCTCTGCACACGGCATCGTCGAACTCCTATCCTTGCTTAACCAGCTCAGTAGATTTAGCCTCTAACTTTGTCTGGGCAACCGAATATATGGTCTATAAGAAAGCCGAGAACGCTTTGCTCCTCTCTAGGTATTAATCGATAAAGTTAGAGCCTACCTAATCCAACACATTCGATAATGGGTGTGTCCTTGAAGAACTTTGGAAGATCACTCCTGCCTTCATGGGTTTCAGGTGCATTGGGCGACACTGCTAAACCCACAACACTAGCATTCAAAGAGACGAGGACTTGACTTCTTGGTACCTAGAAATATCAAACCCACCATTCATAAGTATAAATTACTTGGGTACGTCATAGCCGCTTTGTTGGTTGACGATAACAAAGAATTCCTCTCTAGCTTCTCTTGTCAGATCAACCAGTATAGCAACTGTTTCAATTCATCGTTACTTATACCTTAAGGGATTTTGAGTCGTGGTTGAACCCCAAGAATTTGTTTCCACAGCCCTATATGCAGCAAGATATACCTTCCTATATTGCTTTCTCTTGACCTTAGGAAAGGTGAATACACCGATCCCGCGTTCATTGTTCTACCGCACTAGCTACTGTTGCTACGTCGGGCAAGCTAAAATGTGTTTTTGATATACAGCATGGAAAAGACACTGATTGATGAAACTCGTAAATGTCTGTCTTAGAAACAATGAAGTCTAGAGGTACGTTATAAGAAAAATATTGATAACTACTAAAAGAGATTAGGAATTCCTAAACTAAAACCCTAAACTTAACCACTCAGTCACGAAGTGAATTCGCTTGGCTGCTCTTCTTTTTTTGTCATATTCAAAACGACGCTTCATTACTGTATGCCCAAAAATATTTATCATAGTACAATATATGCTATCTTAGGGCACGACTACTAGACGAATGAATTTGCAAATCGAAATTTGAATTTGAACACGAAGTTACTCCCGGACATTCTGTATTCCATTGCAAAAACTACCCATTTTTTGGGTGGACAATCTCACCTCAGTATGCATCATGTGTACAGCCACGTTACTCCAAGAGACTCTGTAAGGCTTGCACTCCATCAATGACATGCTAGTCTTTGACATGCCATCGGTATTGTTATTTGTTGCACAAGACCCTAGGATTTGACTGAAATAGGCCAACAAGTCCATAGTGCGATGGTCAGATGCTTTGAACTTTGGCCTGAAAACACATTTGCAAAATAAGGGTTTTTTCATGAATACCCAAAGTTGTGTAATACAGAATGTAATACAGAAGGTAATAAAGAATGTAGTGGTAGTGCGTGAGGGAGTGATGGATGTAAAATATTTTTTCCCCTTTTTTGTGTGGCTGGCACCAAAGAAGGTGTTTAAAACAGATTTCGTAGGACTGTAAAAAAAACTCACGATACGAATCGTGACGATGCATTATTGTCACCGTGCCGTGTGCATGTATCAACAGTAATACTGCGCGCTGCGATTCAATTCCGTACCGTGACCGTGCCAGGTATACGTGTGAGTGATTTTCATTGGGTGAACAGTGATCCTCGTGCTTTGATTGGTTTACAGGATATCTTCAATTCCGTACCGTGACCGTGCCAGGTATACGTGTGAGTGATTTTCATTGGGTGAACAGTGATCCTCTTGCTTTGATTGGTTTACA